GAGGAGAGGAGATGAGGAAACAAGGAGACAAGGAGGGGAAATAAGGAAACAAGGAGAGGAGAGGAGGAAAGATGGAAACAAACTAGGGAACAAGGAGTGGATATGAGGAGAAGAGATTAGGAGACAAGGAGGGGGAATAAGGAAACAAGGAAAGGAAATAAGGAGATGAGGAAACAAGGATAGTAAACTAGGGAACAAGGAGAAGCGATGGGGAGAGGAAATAAGGAAGTAACCTAGGAAACAGGAAGAGGACATGAGGAGACAAGAAGAGAGGAGAGGAGGAAAAGAGAGTAAACTAGGAAACAAGGAAAGGAATCAAGGATAATAAACTAGGAGATGAGGAGATGGAATAAGGAGATAAAATAAGGAAAAAAACTAGGAAACAAGAAGACTACATGAGGAGACAAGGAAACAAGGAGAAGAGAGGAGAGGAGGTAAGGAGGAGGGTAACAGGAAAACAAGGAGAATAAATAAGGAGAGGAAAAAAGGAAACAAACCAGAAACAAAAAGAGGACATAAGGAGACGAGGAGAAGAAAGAAGGAGAGGAGAGGAGAGGAGGAAGGAGAGAGCAAAGGAGGAAAGATGGAAATAAACTAGGGAACAAGGAGTGGATATGAGGAGACAAGGAGGGGAAATAAGGAAACAAAATTAACAAGGAGGCAGGAGATGAAATGAGAAGAGGAAGGAAGGTTGAAAATGAACAAGGAAACAAGGAGAGGAACTAAGGAGTGGAGATTGGGAAAGAAGCAGAATACACGAGGAAACAAGGAGAGAAGGAAGAAAGGAAATAAACTAGGAAACAAAGACAGGAAACGAGAAGAGTAGATGAGAAGGAAAAGAGAATTAACTAGGACACATTAGAGGAGAGGACTGAAGAAGGAGAAGATATTAGGAAACAAGGTAAGGGAATAAGGAGAGGAAAGGACAACAAACTAGGGAACAAGGAGAGTAAACTAGGAAACTATCCTGGAACATCATCAGGTCCAGCAATGATTCCTGTCTGTAGTTCAGTCATATTTATCTGCTTTTACATTCATTTCTACACGACATGAGTCTAATAATTATAAATCCAATTATCCATCATGTCAATCAGTAAATATAATTATCATCATTATTTTGTTTTCATTCTGTTTTTTTACATTCTGATTGGCTTCTATCTCGTTTTTATCTCAAACCATCAGGTGGCTTCTGCTCGACCTTCTCTGATTCGATTCAAAGTCTTTCATCATAAACTTAAACACTTTTCTTTTGCTTGATCGATCCTTTTTTTCTGTTAAATTTTGCCCATCAACCGACTTTCTGCAGGTTTTTTTTTTCCACACATTAAAATTGGCGGCTGTTTGAACAACAATATCTCTGGAACCATTACAGATAAAAGCCTGATTATTTCACTGGTGTTTCTCATCACATCATTGATTCAAAACCTGAAATATCGGACGAGTAGGTTTAATAATCTCAGAATGTGGGTGAGTTGAAGTATGAGGAAAAAAACCTGAACAAGTTGTGAAAAATTGTTGAGCTCATGAACAAGAAAACAACTGATGATGGAGAAGTCGACTCTTTTCTGAGCTGCAGGTCACAATAATACAAAACCAAACCTCTAACTGGACTCTAGCTGGACCCTAACTGGTCTGAAGCAGAGATGAAGGACAGGAGTCGGGCTGGAGTTTGAGTTATTTTATCAAGTGCTATTTACAACAGTAGTTGAACATCACAGGAGGAAACAGAGTCACTGTGTTTGTACAGATGGCCTCCTTCAGACGGCAGCTTCCCTCCATCTCCACCGAGCTGCTGCTGCTTCACTGTGACGAACCGACTGGCGGCTCCTGGTGGTCGGAGACGGAACTGCACACATATGATGCAGGGAAAATAAAAAGGATTGTATGTCCTTTTTTGTTTAATCCGTCTGATTTCAGTTAAACCAAGCAGCGTTTTCTAACCCGTAACTCTCTAAACTCTTCTGGAAGCTGCTCTGAGGAACAACTGATGAGATGAAGTTAATATTTCATGTCCTCCTTCGACAGGAAGCTGCTGCGCCGCCATGTTTGCATGACTCGACTTTACTCCCTCTGCCGTTCTGCCTCATTTACTTCTTTCTCTTCAACAAAGATGCGAGCAGACGAGTCTGAAGTAATAATTTTTTAATGTCATGTTGTGTGTGCACAGCGCTGCACAGGGGATAATGAGATTGTGTATTCTATATTGTGTGCACGAGTTATAAGCTTAAGGCAGAATGATAATAAAGCAATAATTTCACTATGTTTTACAATATTAAAAATGTGAGCCTGAGTTTGTGCACTAGTCAGCAGGTTTTCCACACAAGACTCACTTCTAAGAAGAACAAATGAACTCAAAAGTCAACATTTTACCCACAAGTGTAGAACTTTTGTGTACAACACATGAAGCTGCCGTTTTCTAGAAGGTCAGGGTTAAATTCTAGGGCCTCCATTCATTCAGCTCGTGCTCTGTCTCGGCTAAATTCTGCAGTAGAATAAGCCCCAACTTGAGGAAATTCTAGCTCCAACGACTAAAACTGAGCTCTAAGTTGTGTTTTTCTTCCAAGATCTTAAAGCCTACCTCAGGAACCCAGTGTAAATCTGAGCGGAGTTCCTCAGGGTTCAATTCTAGGGCCTCTTTTAATTCAACCTGTGCCCTGTCTTGGTCAGATTCTGCAATGTGATTCTCAAGTTGAAGAAATTCTAGCTCCAAGAACTAAAATTGGGCTCTAGGTTATGTTTTTCTTGCAGAATATTAAAGCCTTGTTTAGGGATGCAGTGTAAATCTGAGTGGAGTTCCTCATGGTTCAATACTGGGCCCTCTATTAATTAAACCCAGACTCTGTCTCAGGCATATTCTGCAATGTATTTCCTAAATGGAAAAAATTGTAGCTCCAACAACTAAAACTGAATGCTAAGCTGTGTTAAATCAAAGCTATGCTTGGAGACAAACCTAAATGGGATTCCTCAGGGTTTGATTCTAGGGCCTCTATTATTAACACTGGGTTCTGTCTCGGCCAAATGCTGCAGTATGAATCTCAGGTTAAGGAAATTCTAGCGCAAAGAGACTCGAAAACTTAGCGTTGTGTTTTTTAAAAAAAAAAGTCAAATAGAGCTTTGCTTGTAGACACTGTAAATCTGAGTGGAGTTCCTCAGGGTTCGATACTGGGCCCTCGAGTACTTCAGATTCTGCTCATTGCATCACTGCATCATTGCTATTCAGATGACACCTACGTTTACTTCTATCATCAATAAATAGAGCAAATAATGAGCAGCTTTATTCTGTATATCGTGTCGTTAGATGGAAAAACTTAAATCCTGGCATCTGGGAACGAGTACATAAGACTTCAAGGTATAGCTGCTTGCTTTAGCTAAAGGCTCCATATTATTTATAACAAAAACTACACACTAGATATATAGAAAGAAATTGTGGTTAAAAGAGTGAATTCCAGCAGCGAGCCTTCAGAAGACGGTGGGAGGAGCTGCCATCCGAAGGGCGAAGCCATCCAAGTCGACGTTGCATAAAGAAATCCATCATCAGAATAAAGCAGAGCAGCAGGATTACAGAGAAAAATAAAAACTCACAGTCGAAAGGTTCTGAACAAACAGAGAGAGGTCGAAGGTCACGAAGCTCAGAAGAACACACTGATTACATTTCCACCGAGCAGGAGAGTGTGCGGCACTTTAATGGTGTGAGAAACCTCTGAGTGGGCGAAGGAGTGTCGTTGAACTTACTGTAGTGTCGTGATGCTACATGGAGTGTGTGTTCTGTGTGTGTTTTCACTAATTGCACTTGAGGATGAGGATATATGGAGATCACACTGCCGGGCAGACGTCTGCAGGAGTTTGTTTTTTTGTTCTTTTTTTTTGGCATTTTCCTGGAAATGTTTGTGGCAACAAAAAGACGGAAACCAGGAGCGACTCGGCTTCAACACGACCAACTCAGGACGGACGACAGAGGAAAGCTTGTTCAGGTCAGGAAATCCCAGTAGTAGCAGAAGTAGTAGTAACGTTGTGAGTTAGTTTTAGTGTTTAAGAGCTGTAGTGGAGTGTTAATGTCAACTGAGGCTACACGGTTCAATTAGCTGCACAACAAATCCAGATCAGTACTCAGCACATCTCAGACCAACAAGCCTCAGATTAGCAAAGTTAGACTAGAGAGCTTACATGTCGACATAATGATGCTGCATTTAACTGCAATAATACAATCGCGAGGACTGAAACTGTCTAATTCGTTTTCTCAAATCTATATTTCAGTGAATTTTACAGCAACGTTCTGAGATGAAGATGCAGAAACGTGGCCTCACCAGAACGTTTCTATTAACTTCTAGGACGACACCTTGTAAAGCTGAAGCAGAAGACGCAACCAAGTGACTACAGATTATATTAAGATGTCGTTTGTTTGTGGCCTGCGGTTTATAGATTTGGAATTTGGCTGACACCATGAATGGTGAAATCACGAGGTAGCCCTAAAACGTCCCCTGCGTTAGCGTCTATTTTCCTCTAAATGGAACCATAATTTACTAAACGAACATCATGAGGTGTTAAAGGAGACCTAAAACTAGAGATTACCGCCATAAACTCATTGGAAACATGTTCACTGAGGTAATAAAGCAGGTGGTAAGTAGCTCATTTTCTCTTCTTTTTGCAATCAGAGGAGTCGCCCCCTGCTGGCTGTGAGAAGGAATGCAGGTTTATCTGCACTGGCTTCACTTTTCAAACCTCGGGGCTGCTTACATCCTTTATGTAATCCGATGATATAATGATGACGCCTCAAGACAAATCTGTCAGAATGAAGCCTCGACTTAACTCCCTCGCTAACGTATTGTTGTTATTTTTTTAGTTTTTAGTTCACTTGGAGTCTGTGTTTCAGACATGAAACTGTAAAATATTTACCAACATGATGGTATTCTAGCTTCAAATTAACTAAAACTGGGCACCAAGTTGTGTTTTTCTTTCACATAAGTAAAGCCTTGCTTAGTGGAAATCTGGGTGGGGTTCCTCAGGGTTTGATTCTGGGGCTTCTATTATTTAGTTTATTGTGGCCACATTCTGCGATACAACACGTCCCAAACTGAGGAACTTCTAGCTCTATAAATTCTAAAATTTAGCGCTAAGCTATGCAGACCTGCTGCAGTCGATGCAGAAAGCAGGGAAAGCAGCACCCAGAGTCCTTAATGCAAACCAGGAAGTAGCATAAAATCGGTGTTACATGCTCCAGGAATAACTGAGGGTTACATAAATGTCATCATCTTCTCAAGTCCAAGAAATTTCGCGCTGAGCCCTCTGAGATCTCCATGTGCAGCCCAAAAATCTGAGTCTTTCCAGGAGTCGGTGATAAATTGGCAGTTTTAACGCAAGCAGATATTCTTAAGACGCTTTTGAAAAGCGCAACGCTTGCTTTGTTTACCTTCTGGGCCAGTATCAAACCTTCATTATATTCCTTTGCAGACTTGCAGCTGTTGTCATATGACTACTCTCTAGTCTGCTTGGAGAACTCAGTGCACTAGTTGTACCCATATTTAATAGTCGATGTGCAAACATAACTGTTCTCATAGACCCTTGCGTACTAACAGGACGACAAATGTTCAACAAATGTCACAGTTTGAGCCCTTACAAGTTGATTTTTACTGTAAAACGTCTCATTCAGGATGAAATTTGGTCCCGATTCTTTAAGACAAAAACAGGTTTAAGGGATATAAAGAGTCGTCCGATGCAGAACCGGCCTTCAGTACATTTAACCCTGAGCTGGTCGAGCTGAAGCCGGAGTCAAACCCTCGACACGGACAGAAGCAGCAGAACAGAAAAAAAAAAACGTCAGTCGGGTTAAAAACACACAGTGAAGCTTATCGAGTCGCATCCGATCAACAGAGAAGACGGAAGAAGGTGACGGGATGATATCATGTCTAAAGGAACGCTCGGTGACACTTTAGCCGGTCGGGTCGGTTCGCAGCAGATTCACCTGAGAGCAAAACGGCGCGCTCATCAAACCCTCCAGCTTCTGCAAAGTAAAGGTTTCGTGTCTCTGATTGGACGGGCAGGCGTAAAACTCTCAAACACCAAAGTCCTAACGGTTGAGCTCTACCGGCTGTCCAAAGTGGAGTCTGAGCAGCTCAGACTTAGTTTTACTGTGAACCTGCCGCAGTTCTGCCGGTTAATGAACCCGTTCAGAGCGTGCAGCGCGACCGCTCATCGGTAAAGTGTCACTGATATGAGATACGAGAACCAGGACGACACGGCGTCCTCCATGGACAGTAAAAGTGGTGTTTGTTTGTTTTTTATACATTCTGTGCAAAATTAGACGAAAAAGTAGTCCACAAATCGTCGTCAGTCTATTTCTCTTTCTGTCTACACACATCAGTCAGTGTTCTGCTATTTACAGTTAGTTTCTAAGACGTTAGTACCATCGTCCCCCAGCGGGGCTAAGACATTCCTCAGAGGGACCAAATCCACCTCCAGAACCAGCGCTGCCGCCTTCGCCGCCGGACCCGAGACTCGCCTCAACTCCTGAACCTGAGCTTCTCGCACGGCAACAAGTTCTGCATCTGAGCCGTTTAAAAGAGCAAAGCCAGATTCGAATGTCGTGTAGGTTCGTGTTTTCAAAGTCATGAAACATTTAAAATCCCAAAACCTTCCAGCAGGTTTTAAAGGCAAGTTAGCTTTAAAAAAAAAAGCCAAGATGACATTCATCAGCCTGAAACTATAACAGCAGAAAGAATCATCAGATTCTCAACGTTCTTACAGTCGCTGGACGAATCACGGGGTCGAATATTGTCGATATTTCCTCAAAATCACTTTATTCTAAATAACGATGGCTGGTCTTTATATCAACGGCCACCCACTGACTCTGAGCCAAACATGACAGGATTTTATAGTTTACAGCGAATTAAGCCAAAAACTAAAAAGCAGATCATTTCATTGAATTTGTAAAAAGCCTCCAGTTTAGCCGAAAAGTCCCCGAATTCTTTGTCACATTAATGTTTGTCAGAGCTGAGTCACTGATGGATTCACGGTTGGGCCAGTAAGTGAAGCATATTTAGTTTTTTAGAAAATCGGATTCGAAGGTTAAAGGTGCATTTTTAGCATTTTTCTAAACAATGTGATGAAATTTTAAGCAATTGAGTAGTTAAAAAAAAAAACATCTGACAGCTGAAAATCTAACAATTCTTTCTGCTGTTAGTTTCCGGATGACAAATTGTGTAATTTTGGCAGTTTTTTAAAGAAATCGTGCCTCTCAAACCTGCCGACGGACGCAAGCTTCAGGAACGTTTTCAGGAGTTGATGGACTCGTCTCATTTCCAGGATCCCTGATAATTCCGTTAAACTACCGTCCGGACAGCAGTTCCATCACAAAGGTGGATTTGCGGCCCGTACTTCATTGTTAAAAACAACCTGCTGCTAATAAATCAGCTGTCTATTTAAAAGGCATCGAGCAGGTAAAAAACACAGGGCACACAGTGAAAGAGGAGGGACGGGGGGACGGGGAATAGAAAAATAAAAATAAAAAAATAAAAAACTGTGGCAGACACAACTGGACGATCACCGCACTTCACTCTGTGGCAGAGAAACATAAAAAAATGTAAAAAATAAAGTTTCAGAGGAGGCGGGGCACCGGGCGAGGAGGAGGAAGGCAGAGAGGAGGAAGAGGAGGCGAAGGACTCTCAGTCTCAGAAGAACTTGTCGTCGATGCGGAAGTGCGGCCGCGTGACGTCGTCCGGGTTGATGAAGACCGAGATGGATTTCCCAGGATTCTCCGTGACCAGCTGCTGCAGCTTCTTGGCGAGCCGGTCGTCGGGCTGGTTCTCCCCGCCGGCGTCCGACTGCGGCGACGGCAGGTTGTTGGCGCTGCCTCGCCACTGCAGTTCCACCGTCAGCCTGTTGGCGGCCTTGGCGTGCTCGATGGTGGTGCGCAGGTGCTCGGCCGGGTCGGAGCGCACCGAGGACAGCTTGCGGGCGTGCAGCATGGCGGTCTCGTCCGACAGGTGCTCCAGCATGTTGCACTGCGGGATGAAGTAGTTGGGGCACATCTTGTTGACGAGGCAGTGCTGCAGGTCGTCGATCAGGCCGAGCAGGAAGTGGGCGGAGAAGTCGTCCTGCGCCAGGTAGTTGGCGGGGAGGCGGTCGCAGGCCCACAGCATGATGCTGCGCAGGTGGTACGGGCTGATGGCTTTGGGCCGCGACAGCAGCTTGATGATGATGGCTTTGCAGGCCTGGTACGCCTGCATGAGACTGGACGAGATGCACTTCTTCAGCTGCACCTCGCTGCGGGCGAACGACAGGCGCCACTCGTTCTCCTTGCGGCCTTTGTAGGAGCAGGCGGGAACCAGGTAGAAGCCGCTGATCACCTCCTCCTCAGTGATCTTCCCGTCCCAGAAGTGGTTCTCCATCAGCCAGCTCTGAGCGACGGCCGGCCAGCCTTTGAACGACACCACGGGGACGATGTCGTACAGCATCCGGCTGCTGCCGACGCCCAGGATGACGGAGATGATGGTCCCGTTCCGCTCCACCTTCTCCACCCTCGGCATCCCCCTCTGCGGCTTCTTCTGCACCTCCAGCAGCACCAGCGAGATGGACTGGTAGAACCAGTCGGCCACCAGCGTCGGGGAGAAGAAGTAGTTGGTGGTGCCGTTGATGTGGTCGACGATGGTGCAGCAGTCCTTCCACTTGTTGATGGTTCCCTCGTCGAAGAGGCGGAGGCTGAGCCAGGAGTGGCCCAGCGCCGAGTGCCTCATGTCCAGCGTCACCGGCTGGTTGCGGTCGTGGAGTTTGAGCGCCGGGACCAGCAGGGTGAAGTCCATGTCGTAGTCTGTGCCGCGGGCGTAGACGCTCAGCTCGTCCAGGTCCATGTCCACCACGCCCTCCCGGACGCCGCCCGACAGGAGGAGGTACTCGTTGGCCACCGGCAGCTTCTGGTCCAACTTCTGCACCATTCCTGAGACACAGAGGAGGACAAGGTGTCAGACAAACAACTTTAACCGGAACGTCAAGGACAACTGATCGATATCACCACAAGCAGCCCGATCCTTCTGTACGCCCACCATCACACAGGGGTCGTATATTTCTATAATTTTCTTAATAAATGCAGCAACATGGAAGATGAAACCACATCCACACTTGGCCACCAAAGACCCTAATGAACCCCACTGTGACAGGGGGAGCACTAACGACTCGCATAACGAGGGGGAGGAGCAACAAACCCCCAATTTAAACTCAGGTGTTAACGGCTCCTTCAGGATATCAGTATGTGGAACTCTCAACTAGTCAGTCAGAGCTGATGAAGCCTCTTGGATGAAGGTGGAACGTCTTCAAGGAACTCAAGCTACTACGATTAAACTACGAGAATAAACAACATGTCCAGTGAATTCCGGCTTAATTTACACCACATGGTCTGGCCATTAAGGTCATTAAGCGTCATAGAAGTCTTTGTCATGGTGCCTCTGCACTAACTAAGCCACCTCCACAAGTTGCTACAGTAATAAACAGTAAGAGACTCCACCTGGTGGTGCATCCAGGTACTACAGCTAATCTGAGTATTATCTCATAAAATGGTGTCGGATTGAGACTTGGTATCGACACATACTAAATATTAAATGACTCTGTTTGGATCGAGAGCAAACAGCTCAACTGGACATCTATAAACATATTATACACAAATAGGTTCTGGACCAGGTCCCATAAAGCTCACATCTTGTTTGGATTCCAATCAGGTCTGTTTTTGAATTTTATTTTAAGCCTGGCGGGTCTGGATCAGTTTCTGGGACTCTCGCAGAGTTCGGGCAGCACCAGACCGGACGGGTCACCACGCTCGGCCCCGACAATTGGACCGGATCGGTCTGGACGGGTTTTCTGCTCTGCTGAGCTGAAAGTGAGGCAAACAGATGGACGCGCACACTTCCTGGCTGTCGCCTGCATTCCTGCTCTGCGGCGGCGTCAACACGACGTCTGATTGAGTCGAGGATACTCGTGTTGTTAAACCACTGCTCATCTTCCTGAGCTGATACTAACGGGACAACAGTCACCTTCATCCAACTAATGGCACATAGATCAATACATAAGGCTTCTAGAGGTCGAACAGGATTTAACTCATCAACCCGATAAACTCCAGTGAAGCAGTTCTGGACCGGTTCTGCTCGCGTCACATTGTTCTTCACTGTGGTTTTTTTTTCTCTGCAACATAAACTCCTGCAGCTCAGTGGAAACAGAACAACCGTGAAGACGCAGACAGAACTATTTATATTACAGTTCTGAGCCACCCTGCATTTATTTTATCGATCCAGCATGTTTTATTCTCTCGTCGTCTCCTCTCTGCTCCGTTTACCTGAAACAGCTATATTTAGCCCGTCTAATAAATCTGTAGCTTCTCTGTCATGAGCGGATCCAGAGCTGTGTTGTGGTTTCTGATCGGGTTCAGTGTAAAGAAAAAACAGTAAAAAACGAAGCCAAAAAATGACTAAACATAGATCCAAAACTACCAGAAAACGCCACTAAAACAATATCTGGTTCAAAACAGCCATAAATATCCTAAAAACCCACCAAATACTGACATAAAACAGCCAAAAGTGGCAGAAAAAAGCAACCAAAAGCAGGCAAAACTGTGAAAAAAATTACCAAACATCGACACGAAACTACCAAACAACGACAATTACACTAAATCAGACACAGAACTGCCAAAAAAACTATAAAAACAACCAAATACTGACACAAAACAGCCAAACGTGACAGAAAAAGCAACCAAATATCGGAAAAACTGTATAAAAAAATGACCAAATACACACAAAACTACCAAAAAATGACGATAAAATTAAACAAGACAGAAAACAATTATAAAAAAAAAAACAAAAACCATCATAAAGCAGCCAAAAAGTGACAAAACGCAACTAAACAAAACCAAAATAGCCAGAAAATGAGAAAACAGAGATCCTAAACTACCAAAAATTGACAATACAACAAAATCAAACATAAAACTGACAAATAATTATTAAAAAAAAAATAAACAAAAAACAGACACAAAACAGCCAAAATTGAACAAAAAGCAACCAAAAATAAGCAAAACAGACAAAACAATAATTAAACATAGACACAACACGGCCAAAAAAGGACGATTAAACAAAATCAGACACAAAACTGGCAAAAAATTATGAAAAAAAACAAAAACCAACACAAAACAGCCAAAAGTGACCTAAAAAAATCAACCAAAAAAAAGCAAAACAGACATAAAACAAAAACAACCACAAATGGACACAAAACAGCTGGAGAGGCAAGAAACAAGAAAAAAAAACAGCCAAAAAAGAAAAAGTGAAAAAGCTGCAACGAAACAGAACCCAGACACAAACCACCAGATGTTGAACTCACAGGAGAAAATCCTCCAAACAGCTGGAAGCAACAAACTGAACCTCAGCTGCTGTTGGTCTAAACCCAGAATACATTTAAAGTGATTTTAAAGCGTCTCTTGCTCTCTCATCGCTGACACATCGTCTTGTTTCATCTGCCAGACGCTCCACAGAGGGAAGAGGAGGATTGTGGGTAACGGCAGGTCACAGAGGAACCGGGTCACCTGAGATTCTGCTTGAGCTCAATAAACGATTACGTAAACGATAAACAAACACCGGTGCTGACGCTGTCTTCGTCTGTTGGGATGTTTTCTTGTCGTCCGAGTGCAGAGGTCAGACAGGAAGCACATCTGTCCCCAGAGCGGCCGGACGGCCGCCACATCTGGCAGAAAGTCAGGAAGCACTGCCTTTAAACGGTGTTTGGACCCGGATGTTGGAGGAAGTCCAGCAGCAGGACGGGACTCTCTGTCCCACGCTTCCCTCTGACGTGTTAATAAAGTTTGACTGAAGCAGAGCGACCGTCACTTCGTCTCTCGTCAGGACGAAGACGCTGCAGATAATTGGATTAAAGCTGCTCTGAGGATCAGGAACCTGACCGAACGAAAACTGATACTAATTAGCAACCAGCTCGTTAACTGACGTCTATTTTGATAACTTCTGAATAAAAGTAAACTGAATATCTTTGGGTTTGTCATCTTTGGGAAACAATGACCCATATCATCAAAATTTAAAATATATATTTTAGAGACCAAAATTATAAAATGTCAACAATTCTTGGTCACACATGTGTGAAAACGATCAGAAATATACAAATAAAAGGTCTAAAAACATTAATAAATAGCTTAAAGTTGTGAAATGTCTCGAAATATATTATTAAAATATTTTAAATTATTGATAAAATACCAAAAAAAAGTCTGAAAAACGTATTTTAAAGACATCTAAAAAAAATCATTAAAATTTCTTGAACTACTTAATAAACTATTTTTAAAACATCAGATTTAAAAAAAAATTAAATGTAAACATTTTTATAAAATGCTGAAAAGTGATTTAATAAAATTTTTAAAAAAAAAAGTAATGATACAGTGTTTGACATTACTGATAAAATGTCAGAAAAATATTCAAAAGTATTTGAAAAAAATAGGATTAAATATACAGCTGCAGTTGTTACAATATTATTGTTGATAGTAATGATATTGTAATGCTAATGTGGCTAGCTATAGCTTTGATAGCAGTATTAGCAGTAGCAAGGTACCTAACTTTAGCTTTGATGTTAGTAATAGTAATGTGGCTAACATTAGCTTTAATGGGAGTATTAGGAGTAGTAAGGTACCTAACATTAGCTTTGACGGTAGTTGTAGTAGTAGCAATGGTTGTTATCAGCAATTTCCCTGAGGTTTCCACCAAAGGGATCAATAAAGTTCTAGTTTTATTCTATTCAGTACATGTAGTAAGGTATCTAACTTTAGCTTTCATGCTAGTAATAGTAATGTGGCTAACTATAGCTTTAATGGTAGTATTAGGAGTAGTAAGGTAACTAACATTAGCTTTGATGGTAGTAACAGTAGTAGTAATGCTTGTAGTTCCAGTAGAATGAGTAATGTAGCTAATGTTAGCTTTGATAGCAGTAGTAACAGTAATGTGACTAACGTTAGATTTGATGGTAGTAACAGCAGTAGTAGTGTGGCTAACATTTAGCTTTAATGCTAGCATTAGCAGTAGTAATGTGGCTAACTGTAGCTTTGGTCGTAGTAATAGCAGTAGTACTGACTGTAGCACCAGTACCAGTAGTAATGTGGCTAACATTTGGCTTTAATGCTAGTATTAGCATGCCTAACATTAGCTTTGATGGTAGTAATAGTAATAATAATGTGGCTAACATTAGCTTTGATGGTAGTAATAGCAGTAGTACCAGTAGCAGTTTAACACACTCAATCACAGACACAGAGAGAGTTTTCTTCCTGAAGCTCAGTTGCATTTAAAGCTACAGACACTGAAACATCCCGTTTAGAACCGAACCAGAACCAGGAGTTATGTGATAATGGACTAATTAACCTCCTTTAAGGTATTTTGAGCTAAAACGCTCCGCGAACACGTGAAACTGGGATTAATTTGCCAAAAACAAACGGCTCAGCGTGGGACCTTTAAACCAGCAGCCCGGTGCCGGAGGACCGTGAACGCACCACCGATCTGCTGCAGGTGAAGCCGATGCGCCTCACCTGACCGCAGGTAACCGGATCTGCCTCTGAAGCCACATCTGCACCATCCCTCCGCACCTGCACGCATTGTTTACCGGAGCAGACGGAGCCTCGGGTCGGCGGTCGGGCTGTGTTTACCGCGGCCCCGCTGCCCTGTGCGCGGCGAGCAGCGGCGCCGTGCCCGGTGTGCGCGTGTCCTCACCCAGCATGGAGAAGATGAAGTCCTTGGCCGTGTGGATCTCCAGAGCCCGCTGGTCGTCGTACTCCCGCTGGTCGTGCTTGCTGAACTCCTGGATGAGTCGGTTCAGGTCCTCCATGCGGGCCGCCGACCTGAAGTCGAGCTCGGGCCCGACGCCTCCGCCGCCGCCGCCGCCGTGAGGCAGCCGTCCGCCGGCCATGGTGGGGCTGTTCCCGAGGCTGCCCGCGGAGCCAGCCCGACCGGAGAGAGCAGGGGCCGCCATCACAGGTTCACTACCGCTGCTGGTCTGTCCCGAGCCGAGCCGAGCTGAGCCGAACCGAGCCGAGCCGAGCCACACCGAACACAAGCACCGGAAACAGCTGCGACACGTACGCTGGCTTCCGCCTTCAGAATAAAGGCGCTGGGCAGTTCCGGAAGTTTGTCATGTCTTGGTCCTTCGGTAATTAAATTGAATTTATTTTAATTTAATTTCGGGGGGAAATGACATGTCACTTCGCTCCGTTTTATTTTTGAGATTTAATTTAATTTAATCAATTTAACAAGAAAAATAATATGATCAATAGAAGGAGTAAATACCACATTAGGCCACCCATTCATTAAAATTTAATTTAATATTGCACCTTATTTTACTTTGAAATTTAATAGAAATTTATTTTTATTTTTTTAAATGTAAGACGAAAAAATGACACATTTTCCTTTTTATTTTGGAATTGAATTTATTTGACTGTAAATGGAAGAAATTATTTTTGAAATTTAATTTAATCTTAATGGGGGATAAAATGCAAAATATACGTGCCTGTTTATTAAAGTTTAATTTAGTATTGGGCCCCCTTTTTGTTTCGAAGTTTAATTTATTTTAATATAAGTGAATGTGTTTTAATTAAAGTGTGCCTACTTTTTATTTTGAAAATTTATTTAATTTAATATAATTTAATCTATTTCAGTAAATGTAAGGAAAGAAACTATTTTGAAACTTTATTTAATTTATTTTATTTTATAAATATCAGAAAAGAAATGGCAAACTGGGCCTCCTGTTGATTTTCTAAAGTTTTATTTCAGGTGAAAAAAATGTGAAAATACGCCTGATTTTTATTCTGAAATTGAATTGAACTGAATAAATTTAAATTAGTAAAATAAAGGCCAAAGAAATCCCAAATTCTGTCACTATTTTTAAATTTAATTTAATTACATTTGATTAAAACAAAACTCTTATTGACAACGTAATATTTAATACTATAAACACACACTCGTGCCTATGTAAGTAAATAATATCAAAAACAATAAAATCATAACACTATTTTATTTTTTGTGGTTGTTGTTGTTGTGATGCAGCGGTGCAGTTCCTCCTGCTGTCCTCCGGGTGTCGCTGTGGTTCCTCAGCGCGGCTCTCCGTGCTTCGACCCGGAGATGAACGACCAGCCGGGGTCGACCGGTCGGAGTCACCGGGCTCCAACATGGCGTGGAGGAGCTGCTCCGTCCTGCTCAGACTGACCGGAGAAGACGCGTTACGGAGCTCCGTCAGGGGCGGCAGGTGAGTCCCCCCACGCAGCCGGGCCAGGAGCAGCCTCCTCCGGCCAGACAGACAGACGAAGCCCTGCTGCCCGGAGTTAGCTCCGTTAGCTTCAGCCGGCTAACGTTAGCTGGCGGCTAACTGAGCCAACTGCAGGGTGTTTATTTATTTATTTATTTTTAATATACCAGCTGATTTAACCCGCTTCACTTTCAGGTGTGCAGTTTAACTATTTAATTATCAGTTGTTTTTTTAATTATCAGCTCATTTTTTGACATTATTCACTGAAAGTTCCGGCGGTCACTAAGCCCCAAATCACCTGCTCACATATTAGCATGTACTCGGGTCACTGGTGTAATAATCGGTTTCTCTAAAAATACAAGTTTGAGGAGCTCTGGAGATCTTTTAGAAGCACCCACAGAGGTTCTAAATACATCCCCAGAATCCTCAGAGTCTTTTACAACTACCTGACTGAGAAGAATGGATTTGTTTTAGAGAAATAACACAGAGCTATGACTTGTTCTCTGGTGGTGACAGTCGGGTTATATTAAAGGACCGGCTGGCCGCCATCTTTGTTTTGATTGGGAGCCAAGTTAAAAACTGTTTTAAAGTTCAGTGAACAAAAACGACCTTTAGCTGAATGATTTGGGACCTTCAGGACAGCTGTCAAGGCTTTAAAATTAACACAAAAAAGCCCAGTAAAAACACAGTCTGTACTGTATTTGTACACTTTGTGCTTTAATATTGGGCAGCAAAGTTACAGAGGATAATAAATTACTCACTGAAATCAACAGCTTGTTGTAGAAAAATGCAGTTTGCAGCACTTGTGACCTTTAAATATCCAAACGCTATAAGACGTATTGATAGTAAACAAGACTTAAGTGCAAAATGGCAGCGTTTATTTCTGAGATATTCTGGATTCACTGTTGGGCCGTCGAGGCATCCGTCTTAATTTACAGGATGCTTTCTATTATGCTAATATGTCTCCTAGCTTCTAAACGTGTGAGTTTACTTCCTAAACCAACAAAGACGCAGCATTTATAGACGACATTTCTATCAAAAGAGCTGCTCGGTGTCGTCGTGTTCTTGTGTTTCTGCGGCTGAAGTTCTGTGTCCGTCCAGCAGGTGGCCTCACAGCTTCCAGCAGCGATGCGGCTTCAGGAAAGCAGCCAGAAAACCAGAATCCAAGAAGGTGGAGGAGGAGTTAGGCCCCGCCCACACAGAGCTCTCTGAGGCCGGCGCCCACCGTCGGAGCCCCGCCCCCCACCTGGACCAGCAGGCCCCGCCCAGCTCGCCGCGGGCCTTCGGCCGGCTGCTCCGGCCGCTCGTCTTCACCGTGGGGGTAGGTGGCGCTGCTCACCCGTAGGTGCTCTCGGTGTCACGCTCAGGTGCTAACTCCATGTCAGTTTACAGGCTGCTCCTTCGGCTCGGCGGCCATCTGGCAGTACGAGTCACTCAAGTCTCGAGTCCAGAGCTACTTCGACGAGCTCCGGGCCGACTGGCTGGAGAAAGTTCGGCCGCAGAAACGAGGAGACGTACGGAAGGAGGTGAGCAGGAGACGGTAGAAAGTTTTTAAAAAGACAGGAGGATGATAAAAGATGGTTAGAACAAAGAGCTCAGGGTGATTTTTAAAAGAATGTTTTAAAGATGGAGGTGAAGACGAGCGAAGCCCTGATTGGCTGTTTGTGTTCCAGATCAACCAATGGTGGCACAGCCTGAGTGAAGGTCAGAAGACGGTCACAGGTGAGTCGACTGAGACGACACGCTGAAGAAGCTACAGGTTCTCCACCAGCACCTGAACGCATCATAGAGTCTCAGAGCTTCAGTTACTTTAAACTGTCTGTAAATTAACTCAGAAGAACTTTGATGTTTGTAGACAAACGGACAGTTTAAATCTCCTGCAGAACAACGTTACAGATGTCAGAGTGTCGACCTCCTTGTTGAGTATAATGTGATCCGGTTTGTTTCCAGGGATCATCGCCGCCAACGCCGTCGTGTTCTGCTGCTGGAGGATCCCGTCTCTGCAGCGCGTCATGCTCAAGTACTTCACCGCTAATCCTGCTTCCAGTGAGTCTGCTGCCGGTGGTGCGTTCAGGGTCCTCCCCGACTCGTGCTTCACGTGGTTTATGTGAGTTTCCTGTCGTCCTGCAGGGACTCTCTGCTCCCCGATGCTGCTCTCCACCTTCAGCCACTTCTCCTTCTTCCACATGGCGGCCAACATGTACGTCCTCTGGAGCTTCTCCACCAGCGCCGTGTCCATGCTGGGCCGCGAGCAGTTCATGGCCGTCTACCTGTCCGCAGGTGCTGCACACAGACTGTGGTTCTGATTGGTCGGCTGAGGTTACTGGAGGTTACACTGACTCTATTCTCTCTTTGTTCAGGAGTTGTTTCTACGTTCTTCAGTTATGTTTGTAAGACGGCGACGGGGAGGTTCGGTCCGTCTCTGGGAGCGGTAAGAACCAACGAGCTGCTGCTGCTTCTCTGGCTTCACTCAGAGTCAAACTTAAGTTCCTTCAGCCGCAAAACAGACGTTTATTAGAGTTGAGCAGCCTCATAAACCAAAGATGCACAAAACAGCCTCAAAGAGACAGAAATGAACACAAAGAGACACAAGACGGTCACAAAGACGTAGAAAACGGCAAACAGACACACAAAACCAACAAAAAAAGACACAAAATGACCACGAACTAATTCAGAATAACCTCAATATGACACAAATGGTGACAAGAAGACACAAAAAGACCACAAAAGACAAAAAAACCAGCATAAAGATGTAGAAAGTGCCAAAAAGAGACGCACAAAACCAACACAAAAATGCAAAAAATCACCACAGAGACACAAAGTCACGACAAAGAGACGTAAAAGGACCACAAGCAGATAATAAACATCCACAAAGAAACACAAAATTAACACAAAGAGACACAAAGTCTCAAGAAAGAGACTCAAAACAACCTCAAGGAGACACAAAAGTTCTACAGTGAGACAGAAATGAACATAAAAACACCACAAAAGACACAAGACGTCACAGATGTAGAAAAAGGGCAAACAAGACACACAAAACCAGCACAAAGTGACACAAAATGACCACAAACAGATTCAAAATGACCTTATTATTACACAAATGGTGACAAGAAAACAGAAAAAGACCACAAAAGACACAAAACCATCACAAAGACGTAGAAAGCGCCAGACACAGACGCACAAAACCAGCAAAAAGAGACACAAAATGACCTCAGACCCAAAATTACAGCAAAAAAACCCACAAAACATCCGCAACCAGACCCAGAACAACAAAGAGACACACACTGTTGACAGAACAACAGAACGACTAAAGACCAGAACCGTTTCCTGACACTGAAGCAGGAAACTGAGGAGCTGAGTTTCTGCTCATGTTTAATTCTGACGTCTTGTTTCTGATCCGAGCTTCAAACTCTCACAGTTTTTAGTTCTGTAGTTTATTTGGGCCGGTTCTCAGTAGACCTAACAAGCCGACCCGTTTGGACTCGTGACTCATGAACCTGATCCGTCTCCGTTCCAGTCCGGCGCCATCATGACCGTCCTGGCCGCCGTCTGCACCAAGATGCCAGAAGCCAAGCTGGCCATCGTCTTCTTCCCCATGTTCACCTTCAGCGCCGCCAACGTAAGAGAGCTCGCCCGTCCCCCCTCTGTCCCCCCCTGACCCAGTCCCCCCTGACCCGATCCACCCTGACCCGGTCCACCCTGACCCTGTCCTCTGTCTCTGTCGGCAGGCGCTGAAGGCCATCGTCGCCTTGGATACGGCAGGTCTGCTGCTGGGATGGCGGTTCTTCGACCACGCCGCCCACCTGGGCGGAGCCTTGTTTGGCATGTGAGTGTATCCACGGCGACCAGCCGGTTACGTACTCAGTAGATTTTTTTATAAACGTGACGAATAAATAAACAGAAACAAAAGCTCACTGGTACTTTTCCTCTTAATGAACTTTAAAAGTAGGTTTGTTTGTTTAAAGGCGTCTGAGTTTTAGTCGTACCAGAGCATGCAGACGACACAACGGAGGATAAACGTTCGGTTAGCGTCGCAAACTTATGACGTTTTCCACGACGAGTTTGTGAGATTGTGAAGCCAGAACATCTCACAAATCCTCCTGGAGAACGTCGGAAAGAGGAACCGAGACTCAGAACGGTTTCAGGTTTTAGTTTGGACTGATTAGCGTTGAGTCGACGTCCATCTCTGAGAAGTTTATCAGCTGAACAAACAGCGATCCTAAACCTGACGCTTGGTTCCGTCTCTCCCCAGATGGTACATCCTCTTCGGCCACGAGTGGATCTGGAAGAACCGAGAACCTTTCGTCAAACTTTGGCACGACCTGAGAACTGGAGGCGGCCGAGGAGGAGGAGGAGGAGGAGGAGGAGACCGAGGAGGCTCCTTTTAGGACTGATGAGGAAATAAAAACCTGTAAAGATGTAAAAAATGTACAGACAGAAGCACAGCAGGCTCCCAGGAGACGGCTGGGAGGCTGGATCACAGCAAACCTTCTCGTTTGTGTCACGAGAAACTGTTTATGGAGGAAGACGGAGAGAACTTCACCCAAAAACACTTCTTAACAATCAATCAGTTGATTATTTGGCCAAAAAAAGTCAATTTGTAGCCTCAACCCCCCCAAAGAATTCCTGTTTATTGATAAATCTTCACTGATCAAGTGATTTATTCATGTTTTATGTCGGTCGATCGGTTCTGAGCAGATTTAAAAACCACTAAATGTGATATTTATTGTTGAGGAGGAACAGAACTCACAGTATTTGGACACAAACTCCTCTCGTTTGTCTTTGGGTTTATTTATGTTTGTTGCTTTTCTTTCGAATAAAACTGTTAAATGATCCAGAATCGGACTCAGAACCTGCTTCGGATGACGCTCAGAAGGTTTGTGGATGAACGAGCTTCACACTGTCGGGTCGTCTGTTACAATGAGCAGAATAAACTGAAAACAACTTGCTGCTCGACATCATTCTGCTAAATAAAGATACCAGAAACACATTTAAAGTCCAATACATGGTTAACTGTACACGTGAGGTTAAACCTTCTATCAGGACTTCTCCGTGTCAGATCGTCCATTCGGTGTTTGTTTAATGAGCTGAAAGACGAACCGTGAGTGAAATAAACTACAGTGACGGTCGGATCTGTGGTCTGCAGGTTAAAGTCTGAATCGGCCTCGATGCCGCGGGTCGAACCTCACGATGAGTAAAACTGCAAACATGCAGCTGATAAACAGACGCAGCGGTCTGAAGTCCACCAACCGTCCCATAAACACAACATGAAGGTTTGTCTTCAACTGACCCACAACCAAAGAACACTGAAAGAACTCTGTGAAAAGGTTGTTGAGAAGCATCAGTCAGGAGATGATACAAGAACATTTACAAGTTACTGAACATCTCTGGAGTCCAGTTAAATCCATCATTAAGACATGGAAGGAA